AAATTCCTATTGACAAAGATTCCTTCTAATATCAACAATCCCTAGTGCTTTTAAGATAGGAGTTGGTGTACAAACATTCCAAAAGTGGTACTCTCTGTCAGGTGCTATGCCAGGTACAAAGTTGAACAAGAAAGATGTCTTACTTTCAGAAGGGACTTTAGCTTCTCATAGGGAATAAAGACAGAAGCAGACTGTTAGCATAGCAGTTTGGGTGCAGCTGTCAATGTCATTTTCTTAAAAGATTGTTGGGTTTTTGGGTACCTGGGCATCTCAACCTTGGAATGACTCTCTTTCCTTCCTTCCTTCCTTCCTTCCTTCCTTCCTTCCTTCCTTCCTTCCTTCCTTCCTTCCTTCCTTCCTTCCTTCCTTCTTTCTTTCTTTCTTTCTTTCTTTCTTTCTTTCTTTCTTTCTTTCTTTCTTTCTTTCTTTCTACTCTAAGAGTGCAGAACTAGGAGTGGCAATGGGATGGGATAGAGATGATGAATGCAGCAGTGGGAGCTGACTCTCCCTTCAGCATCAGGACCCAGGAAGAGTGAGGTTTTTTTGCAAACCTGGTGACTTGCAGGCAGTCATTATCTCATGAAGAGAATCAATGGAGGGAATAAAATACACAGACTTTCCACCATTTGTCAAGCTATGTTCTTCTGTCTTAGGGCCTGGAAAACCCACAGCCACCTATGATGGTGAAGTGAAATCACATAGGCTTCAAAACACCAGTGACTGAATATCAGTTGAACATAAACCAGGAAAGATCACACAGAGTGCTAGGATGACTTTTTAAGCAGGTCACAGACAGAATGTCACAGTTCCTAGCTTCATTGCCTTGTGCCCAGCTCTTCCTATGACACAAGCCTCTTTCTGGTTTTGGGGATGCAGAAGGGGCCCATTAGCAAAAAGCAAAAATGAGCCATAACTTTAAAGAACCCCAACTGGAAACACAGAATCCGATCTCACCATATTCTTCTCACCTAGAATGCTGTTCCCACATGCTCTCCAATCTCCATATGCTCCCTAACTTTCAACACCTACCACAAGTCCGACCTGACCCAGGAAGCATTCTCTGTCCTCACCTGCTCAATGTGTGCTAGACAATCTACTAAGGGTTTTATATACATCATCCCTACAACTATCTATTAGGTAGGTATGGTGATCCCCATTAAATGGAAACTAAGGCCCAGAGAGGTTAAAAATCTGTCCTCATGGCTTCAAAATGACAGACATAGGAATGAAGCCCAGGTTTGCATAATTTCTTCAAGATGACTCCTCCCCAGCATCATCCCCTTTATTATAGTCTATACTTGGTTCCACTCAGCTGGGTCATTTCATGTGTTATAGAATTAAGTTTTGACAAAGTATATGAAGCATTTCCCCAGCTCCATTGAAGGTTCTTCGGAAGAAAGGATGATACCCTTTACTTCTTATTTTCTCTTATGGGCCCATGTATAGACTTAGAAATAGTAATTAAAGGCTTGTTCATTTGTTGTGGGAAGAGGGAAGACTGATGTGTGGTTGGGTTCAGACAATAAGGAGATATTCCTTAATTCCTTAATAAGGAAATTTCCTAAATAAGGAAAAGAAATGAAAATGGACTGAGTATCAGACACCATACTTTAAACCCTTTATTTTATTTGACCCTATTTTAATGCTTTGTGATAGGTACTGTCATCTTTGGCAGAGAGAGTTTATTCTGGGGTTCATAAAAATTGAGTAACTCACCTAATTCCACACAATGTGTGAGAGATGGAATGGACATTTTTGTACATTCTATTCTCCAGTTATACTCATTCTTGCCAAATACAGTTGGCTTTCTGATTTAAACCAGATCCACAGTTAAACTGTTTCCAAATGGCAGTCCTTTAGAGCATCTGCTATTTTTCTTGAAAATATGTTCCTAGAAATATGAGGTCACTGGCTAGATCTAAAAAAGAGATGGGATTGCCAAGTTTTCAAAGGGCAGGAATAATCCTTGGCTTCACACTAGTGCATGAAAGACCATTTCATGGAGGGGGAGGGGAAAGCCAGTGCACCATGGATGAAACTGGACCCAGAATGGATATAAAGACAGAGGAGCTGGGGAGTGGAGCCGCTGCTAGAGAAAGACTCATTCCTGAAGACTGTGGAGAAAGCAGTGCTACCCCCTACCAAGATGAAGCTGCTGTTGCTGTGTCTGGCACTGACCCTAGTCTGTGCCCACAAGGATGAAAACAATGCTGTTGTGACAAGCAACTTCGATCTGTCACAGGTAGAGTCATGCAGAGTAATGACATCTGACTTTGGGGGGTGGTTTGCAGGATTCCGAAGCCAGGTGGGTCCTACTATGAGGCAGGAGTTTCTTAAATAATAAACAGAAGGAATGGTTTCTGATTTTGGATAAAAGCAGTTGTGCCATATTAAAAATGATAATGATTGATGACCTTTAGACTCCCTAGAGGGACAGTGGAAAGAACCCCTAGGTGTGGTGTCAAATGTCCTGAATTCTAATTCTATCATCACATCACCATTATGAGTCCTGGCCCACAGGCCAGAGTTCAGGGAGAGAAATATCCATGTGGTAGCCCCTCTCCTCTTATTTTACCCAATTATTTTACTTATTTATTGCAGTTTCCAGGAGACTGGCATTCCATTCTCTTGGCTTCTGAACGAAAGGAAAAGATAGAAGAAAATGGCAGCATGAGGCTTTTTATGGAACACATTGATTTCCTGGATAACTCTTCTTTGTCCTTCAAATTTCATAAAATGTAAGTGTGGCCTTTTTTATTGGGAAAGGAGAAATGGAAGCCTAGGTATGGTCTTGAAGACACACATGCTTGCGTTTTCAAGTGCTAAGTCACTTGCACTAGTACACACATACAAACTTGTGTACACACATATGCTGAGCCTGTGTCCAAAATCACCAATGGGTTGGCACTGGTCCTGGACTTGACGAATGTGGGAATTATCAAGATTCAGAGATAAGAGTTGGTAATGGGAGTAAATATAATGGGAGTGGGGGAAATAGGAGATAGAAAGATAACAGAGTCATAAGTAGTGTGACAATATAACATAGGTTAAGAACATAGAATTTGGAATCAAAAGCCTGAATTTGAATCTATATCTTACTAGTTGTATTTCCAAGAATAGTCATCTCTTTTCACTCTAATGTTTTCTATTTTTATTTTACTTTATTTATTTATTTTTGAGTTGGAGTCTCAATCTGTTGCCCAGGCTGGAGTGCAGTGGCACACTCCCAGCCACTGCAGCCTCGACCTGCTGGGTTTAGGCGATCCTTCTGCCTCAACCTTCCAAGTAGCTGGAACTACAGGCACGCACCACAAGCCATGCTAATTTTTTGATTTAACATAGAGATGAGGGTTCACCAAGTTGCACGGGCTGGTCTCGAACCCCTGGACTCAGGCAATCTTCTTACCTTGGCCTTCTAAAGTGCTGGGATTACAGGCTTGAGCCACTAGGCCTGGCTCACTCCAATGTTTTCATGGATAAAGGGGATGATGATAATTCTTCCTCTTTTTTTTTTTTTTTGGTGAGGACCAAGTCAAGTGACATTTGCAAAGCATTTATTTGAGAGGCTGGCATGGAGGATCAAGACAAGGATCTGTCCTTGTTCAAGGATTTAGACAAGTAGTTGCATAACAGTAACAGTAGGACTAGTGGTAGTAGTAATAGTGATAGGAGTAGCTATTTAAGTCATTCTTAAAGTATCAAATCAAGTGAAATAATGTAAATTTTCAAAGGCTTTGGCAATTGGACAAAAAAATTGTTCAAAAGTTAATTGGAATCAGAAACTCAAGTTATAGGTATCAATTCACTTTGTTTTGCAGCAAAAATGGAGAGTGTACTGAAATGTATTTGGTTTGTGATCAGACAGAAGATAAAAATTTATGCACTGTTGACTGTTAGTACACAAAAAAAGTCTTTCTAAATTCTACTTACAACTGCAAGGAATTTACTAAGCCCTATATCGTCAGGATCTAGATCAATTCCTAGTCAATGCTTATTTAGGGAGTAAAATGGGGCATCAAAGAGTCACTATTTTGAAGTTGGGAGAACCTTGTGTGTAAACGCCAATGCCTGGCACATAATACCATTCAATAAAGAAGGTGATTTGGTCATATATACCTCCTGCAACAGAAGTGAATTGGCAGAAAAGGAAAAGTAAATTAGCTGGATGGCTTCTGCATCCCTCTTGTTGTTCTGATGCCTAGTGGTCATAGCTACAGCACATTGCTCAGGATGTAGCATCAGGTATGTAATGCTGGGAGGGCTTGTAGAGAGAACATAGACACATCACTGACAGAGATGCTGAGGGAGGTGTGTCAGTCCCAGGGGGAATTGCTGCTGTGGCTAAATTTTTCCGCCCCTTGTGGTCAATCTACCCTTTTCTTAGAAGTTGCCTCATGAAATTCAAGGAGATAAAATGGAAGGCATCAAATATCTTCTCTCTCTGTCTCTTCCAGGATGTTCACTTGAGTTTGTTTTGTGGGAAAGAATAGATAAAAGGTTTCAACTGCTTCCTATGGACCAAAGAAGTTCTAAGCTGTGTTCTGTTTTCTCTACAGATGATGGACACAATGTAGTTAGTATACTTGAAATGAACTATTCTACGTATATAATGTTTTATGTCAAGAATACCAAAAATGGTGAAACATTCCAAATTATGGAACTCTCTGGTAGCGTATTTTCATGCTGACATTTACCTTGGGGTGGGGAGGGAAGGGATACGAAGTTGTTTTCCCAATCTCATCTTGGACCATCTCTCCCCCTATGAAGACAGATGCTTTCCTCTGGTAATCCCCTAGCCTTGGTGATAGGAAGATTATGATTTCTCATTGTACTTGAAAAATATCCTACTTGATATATATCACCCCCTAGGACTTCTGTCTGAGCATCCAGTTGGTGCCATCCATTTCCCCATCCATCTAGAGTCCGTTCCCCTCTTTTGCCTCTATGAGCAATACACAGGACATGGCAGTTACTGTCACTCTTTCCACAGGCCGAAAAAAAGGTATAAGCCCAGAAATCAAGGAAAAGTTTGTGAAATATTGCCAAAAACATGGAATTACTAAGGAAAACATAATTGACTTAACCAAAGTTGGTAAGTTGAAGTACCTGACTTTTTCTTCCTAAATTCCCATGTTACAGAAGGGAGTAATCCAAGGAAAGGAAATACCTGAGAGCAGACCCCTTTGTCCTAACTTGGAGAATCATCTGGTTTCTCTTTGAAAAATAAACTGCTGTTGATATTTGAATTTCTTCTGTTCTGCCTGTACAGATCACTGTCTCCAGGCCCAGGATGGGGGAAAGGAGTAAGCCTCCAGGTGGGTGAACTCTGACCTTGGTAGAGACAGAGTCCATTGCCTTCCAAAAGCATTAGAAGTTTGCGCCCAAGGATTACCATAAAATAATTTGATAAGGAAGCTTGTGGGGAGAGCTTGAAATTTGGAGTTGAAGGGCCTGAATAGAGAACTCAGTTTTACCACAAGCTTTTGAGTAAATAATCTAAGCAATTAAAAAGGAAAGAGTGATGTCTATCTTACAGAGTTGCTGTATGAATGTAACGCTTGGGAAAAGAGCTTAGCTATTGATATGCTGAAAATCACTAAGACTTAAAGTTTGAAATGGAAAAAGAGTAGTAGGGTGCATGCAACTCAGATATGTTTCAGTGTTAGTGGTCCGTCTCCCAGGGGAGTTACAATAAAAATGTCTTTCTTTGACCTCTGTACATCCTTGACTTCGAATCTGGGAATGGAACTGTCTGACTTTCCCATTTCCCCCCAATCTGGGAAATAGATTCTAAGTTTATTTATCTATTTCCTACCTCAGATTTATTGTGGGGCCTTAATCAGATAACATATGTGAAAATCTTAGCAACTTTCATAAAGTAAGCATTTAATAAGAGGTAGCTATGGCGTTTGCCATTATTTCTCTAATTATTCAAAATTCTTCAAAACTTCTAATGCCAAAAGTGACAGAAACAAACCTAGGATCCTTTATTGTTTCCCTTCTCTTTTTCATAGATTCAACTGGGGGGCCTTTAGGATGAAAGCAAAAGTCATTTACTCAATGCCTTTCCTCACCTATCCTGGTAAATAATATAGGTTAGAATACAGCATGAGATCTATTTCTTCACCATTTTTCTCTCTAGTCAAATTTGTCTTCATCCTTCGTTTGATCCAGGGAATGCTTAATAACTTTCTGTGTTCCCCCTTCTTCCCTGTTTTTTAGAGCTGAGTGAATATTTCCTGACCTGGGCTCCAGCATCTTCCCTTCCTGGTCCCCATGTCCTCGTGTGACAAGTTCTATAATCTGATTTCCATACAGTCACACATCCCTGCATCTTCAGAATCTTCCCTGATTGCCTAAGGAGATGCATCAACTCACCAAGAATCTGAAGTTTTCTGGATTTCTGACTCTCTTTGCCATACCCAGGGGAACCGTTCCCCACATGGTCAATAAATGACTAACCCTGCAGTCATGTGATTTGTCTTCGTGTCTGTGAGAAATGTGAGGCTGACAGCAAGAAAATGAGGGGCCTTCCTTGGCCTTGTACCCATAATCCCCTTCTATCTTCTCAGAATCTTCTCTGAGTTTCAGGATACTATCTTCTCTGCCAAGTCCCTATGAGTGCTTCCTGCCCTTTGATTTACCTATTACTTAGTGACCTGACAAGACTATTATACATACCACAAGAATGTAGGACTTGCCCTGCAATTTCTTCATCCTCATAATCTCTTTTTGAATGTGTGCATTGACAGGTAGATGCTGCTGAGGTGGATACCAGCTTGAGATGATTCAGGACATGACCCATATCTCAGCTTCTCTATACTATCCATTCTAAGAGATGGCTCAGGGTCCTTGAAAAACCTCCTTTAACCACCACAGTTAACTACTATGAACATATTAAGTGAGATTCCATTAAATGCAAGCAACCCCTATCTTTGGCGATCTGTACTTGGAGCTGTTAGGAAGCATCAAGAGGTCTAAATGTTATTAATTTCTACTTTGGGGAGCTAACGGGTTTTGGGAAGAGGAAAATTAAAGATTCTTCCCCACTAATGACTCTTTCCCAGCGCCAGCAGATAAAGATAGTGTAAAAGTTATACATAGGACAGAGTCAGTTGTGGGTAGGGGATTATCCTGCAAAAAATAATGGCTCGGTCATTATGACCATAAAGGTTAATGAGAAAAAAAGGTTTTCTAGGTATTTGGAACCCCTATATCTTGCTCTGCTCCAAGATCAGAAGAGTAAATTAGGGTCAGGTTATTACTTCTGAATCAAGTCTGATAAGCTGAAATATGGCAAAGAAAGTCAACCAGTCATGCCGGATCTCTCATTTTATAATGTTGACACTTTTGAGACAGAATAGACGATACCCAGAAGTTCATTACCTAGAATATCCTTGAGAATGCTTAGAAAATTATTGACAACAACCAAGGACCACAAAGATGATGAGAGAAGGTCAGGTAGTGCCACATGTAAGCCTAGAAGGAGGTACAGAAAGACCCTCAGCTATGACCAGTTCAGGCTGGTAGCTTGAGCTCACACTGAGACCTACACCTTCAACTACAAGTATTTTGTATAAGTGAGGCACGATGTATTTAGAGTACCCAAAAGCAAGGAGACGATTTCCTTAGATCAGAGAAAGGCAATCCCTTTCCACGGAAAGAAAAAAGAAAACAAAAAACAGATGGGAATAGTGAAGGTAAATCGAGCAAAGCAGAGTCATTTTCTGGGTTCTGAGGACAGCTCTGAATCACCCTGAGTCAATGTAAGTTTAGAAGCAAGAGTTACAAAGGCCAGACAGGAGTGCAGGCTGAAGATGCACACCTCTGAGGAACAGAGGTTGACAGAATGAGTTAGAAACAGCTCCTCTCCCTTACCTGGAGTCTCAAAGAGAAGCCATTTTCTCCAGCTGGAGGAGAATGTTTAGCAGGGAAGGGTAAATATTCGGTTTTGCCTATTCCATTGGTCTATCTAGCCAGGCTGCTATTAAAAAGAGACCCAATCATAATCCAGAATGGTTTAATGAAAATATAATTAATTTTCTCCCCTATGAACAATCTGGCATGTGACAAGGCACTGTTACCCATTTGATAAAAAAATTAAAAGTAACCCCTGATATCCTGGACTCTCAGAACTAGGTTTCAAAGCCATCACAAGCTGGGCTGATGATGCTCACAGCTAAGCCAGATTGTTCTGTTGGATATAAACAATCTCATCAAACACCAACATTAGACAAAGTCACTCTGAAGTCATAAAAATAAGACCATTGTGCAATCCATAAACATGTCTCTCTCTTGGCTAAAATGAGTGATATCTACTTCTTTACTAATTACAGCTTTGTCTTCATACTTGTCTTTACTCCCTATTAATACCATTACTGAGGTAGACAATCATAAACTGCCCCCTTGCTGGCAGCAATAAATCTGGAGTTTCCTCAGGAGATTTTTTTTTGCCAAATTCTCTGGTAACACTCTAACTAAGATGCCCATGGACACATTGTGAGTGTCCTTCCTAGCTACAATAGTAAACCCATGCTGTTCAACCACAGGTATGTCTTCGTGGTCTTGTATTGAAGAGTATTCGCATTTTTAGGACAAGTACACAGGCCCACTTCAGGCACGTGCAGCCTGGAATTCTGGGAAGCACCAAGCAATATCACAAACGCAATACCTGGTTAGATATCGTGCGCCTGGTAGGAGCTAAAACACACAATGCCTCCAAGGACTTTGACCTCAGCAAAAGGACAGAACTGCCATTTTCTCCGGTCTACTGGAGGAGAAGTTTTAGCAGGGAAGAATAAATATTCCAGTTTGGGTTATTTCATTTGTTTATCTAGCCAGGTTGCTATTAAAAAGAGACTCAATCATAATCCAGAATGCTTTAATGAAAATAGAATAACTTCTCTCCCCTATGAACAATGTTTCAAGTTGCTGGCAACTCTGTTCCTTGTAGTCATTCAGAACCCAGTTCTTTCTAGGTGCTACTAGGATATTGCCATCATCTGCATGGTTAAAACTGAGTTACAAACAGTAAGAGAAAAGACTCTGGGGGTCTTATGTCTACTTTGTATTCTGTGGTGCCTGGCTCTGGGATTTTCTTTCTTGTCCATTATCCTCCTTGGCCGCTACTCATTTTCTGCTTCTGCAGGTTTGGAGAGATTATTTTGAGAATTAAAGAATCACATGCTTTTGTTATAGGCCAGGCCCAAAATTCTTCTGGCAATACAGATTCCTCAAAAATTTAATGATCTTCTGGTGTATTTGCTTCTTGACTTCTATATGTACAGATAACCACATTCCCCAGATCTTATCTAGACATAGATTTAAGTCTGAAAACTGTGGAATTTTTTATTGGCCTCTAGGCTCTGCCCACTGCATCCTCTTCCTTTAATTTAATGGTGGCTACTTAGAGGCCATCTAAAACAACGAATTTGGGTGAGGTAGATCTTTCATCCCTTCTTTGCCAGTAGGCTCACAACCTTCCATGGCATGTGTTATCTCTCCTCCTGAGCCTAGACTTCTACTTCACAGCCACCACTTACGAATTCTTTACTTTGGGGCACAGAGTCAGTGACCTTTATTCAACTAAGAGTGAGACTCTGGTCAGAGAGGGCCTCTTTTAGTAATGCCCTCTCTATTTGCAGTCAGACTTGATTCTAGTCTGACTACTTCCCTCTTGTAAGTTTTACAGAAAGTAGTAAGAAGCTGCCAACACAATACCAATATTATAATACCCTGAATCTTTTCTGTCTATTTCCCAAGCTCCAGTCTCTGTTTTCGAAGGTATAGCAAGACACTGCTTGGCCAACATTTTGCCACCACATAATTAGAGGTACCAGATTTCCAGGCTTCTTGATACCCAACACCTACCTTCTTTCCAGTAAGTTGGCCACATATTTTAAGTTGTCAACTGCCTCAACTAGTAAGTCTCTACCATATGTCAGGTACTTTGAGCTAGTTTTGCTAATAAAAATTGTAATAAAGCCAATATTGCCTTTGTTAATGAAGATATTGGTCAGTAGAAGGGTTCTATAGTATGGAGCAATTGATGTCTTATAAAGATCAAAGCTGAATTGTACCCCCACATCTTTAAAATTAAAATTAAATTAAATTAAACACACACACACAAAAGATCAAAGTTTAGAGTGTTTGCTGGTTAGTTTCCTAAAGATATTAAGAACATGGGCCAGGTGCAGTGGCTCATGCCTATATTCCCAGCACTTTGGGAGGCCGAAGCTGGATGATAACCTGAGTCCAAGAGTTCGAGACCAGTCTGGGCAACATGGTGAGATCTCGTCTCTACAAAAAAATCAAAAAATTATCCAGGCATGGTGGCATGTACCTGTAGTCCCAGCTACTTGGAAGGCTGAATCAGAAGGATTGCCTAAGCCCAGTAGATCAAGTCTGTGGTAACCATGATCATGCCACTGCATTCCAGCCTGGGTGACAGAATGAGACTCCAACTCAAAACAAAACAAAAGAATATGAATCTCAATCCAAGTTGGGGTGAATGCCCCTTCATATCAGAGGTCCCCAGCCTCCAGGCCGTGGGTTAGGAACCAGGCCACACAGCAGGAAGTGAGTGGCCAGTGAGCAAAGCTTCATCTGTATTTATAGCCACTCGCCATCTCTCACATTAATGTCCGAGCTCTGCCTTCTGTCAGATCATGGGGGCATTAGATTCTCATAGGAGCATGAACTCTACTGTGAACTGCACATGTAAGGGGTATATGCTGCATGCTCCTTATGAGAATCTAAATAATGCCTCATTATCTGAGGTGGAGCTGAGGCGGTGATATTAGCACTGGGGAGCAGCTACAGATACAGATTAACATTAGCACTGAGGTTTGACTGCACAGAGACCATAATAAATCAATTACTTGCAGACTAATATCAAAGCCCTATCAATAAGTGGCAAGTGAGTTGATATACTTCAATCGTACAGCTGCATCTGGTGGCAGGCTTTAAGTCAGAATCTGACACTTATTTTAGCCCATGCGTGGCTGACCCATTATTTTTTTTTCTACTTCTGTCTGCAACTCTTTTTTTAATGGTAAGTTGTATAATTATTTCATTATACCTTACAATGTAGTAATAATAGAAGTAAAGTACACAATAAATGTTATGTGCTTGAATCATCCTGAAACTATTTCCTCCACCCGGGTCTGTGGAAAAATTGTCTTCCATGAAACTGGTCCCTAACACCAAAAAGGCTCGGGACAACTGCTGTACATTAGCCCTGTTAATGTAAAAGTATCCTTTCTAGTTTAATTTGCTTTGAACATTTCCATTGACTCTGAGACATCTAGACTTTATAAACATTATTTTTTTCTGGGTATGTAACAATTAGTTTTACAGTGATAAACAGTAATTGCTCTTCTTTGGGAAGTACATTCTCCCAGTGACTGTGATGTGAAATTAGTAGGCACATTACTTTTTAAAGTAGGGAATATTAAGTCTCCCTG